TTTATGGGTTGTTGCAATGATACGTTCCCAGCTTTGTTGGAGGGATGACTGGGTCTTGGCACTTTGGTAAAAAAGACTGTATGAATGAGATTATAGGTCTCTGCTTTCCTGTTCTTTCATTCACAAATTAGCTGCCTCCGAAACGTATTCATCACAAATTACACTGTGACAAGATAAACTCCAGCGCATGGACTAGTGCCGTATTTGGCCAGCATTTTTTTTATTTTATTTTTCTACATACACTAAAAGGTTTGTGGACTGATTAACATTAACAAATGTTTTTTTTTTTTTTTACAGGAATGAAGAATGTTTTATTATTATTATTATTTACCTAATTTCCCTCTGGGATCAATAAAGTATTTTTGAATTTGAATTGAATTGAATTGAATTTCGTCATTCAAACTTGTATAATAAAAGCTTATGTTAATAAAAACAAACTAGTTTAAGCAATATTACCTGAACAAATGTGTTCTTATAGACGTGTCCTATTTGTGTTGTTGCTGTCAAGAAGTGTTCTCCTTTGTCACCTCAAAGAAAAGACGTTAATAATAACTTTTATTTGTTTTTTATTGAAAAATACGGTTTTCATCGAACATTTAGAGCAGCATGCTCATTCTTGTCTGTCCTCTTTTCTTGTATTAAAATTGCTAGAATGATAAAAGGGCTATTTCTTCTTTTTACACCGCAAAGATTTTACAGCTCTGTCTGTCTAACATGAAAGAAGCTGAGTCGAGGGTTAGGGTTCATCCCCAGAGGAACGAGTCTTGTTTTTGAAGTTGCTGCTAACAAAGTAGAGGTCAGAGGGGCTGTCTTAGAGGGGCTTCATGTCTTATGAATGCTGTCTAATTAGCAGAATTGGTTGCTATTGTAGGTGGTCTTTGTGTGATTGAGTCTCCCTGCTGGGCTTTTCCTAAACACCACTCGGCTGATCGGTGACCCTTCCATCCCTCATCGAATTAACCCATTATCCTCCTGTCGCCCCCGTCCAATAAGACCCTAGATATGACTCTCCAGCCTCACAGCTGCACTCCCCTCAGCTTAGCCAGAGATCATATTTTTCTTTCTAACTCATTCATGTGGAACATTGAATTAAAGAAACCTAAATTAATGTGATCAAAGTTATTTTCTCACAGCAAACTGACACAACACGAGCAAGGTCTATTGAGCCTGGTTTGCTCAGAGCTTTGTTATTATTAATTGCGTCATTCAGTTTTGGAAAACAGCCACCAGACTGAATCCTGGAAGGAGAGGCCGATCACCCTCCCCCCCACCCCCCACCCCGGACTTCTTCATGAGCAAATTTGTTACAAATCCACCTTTGTTTATGCCAGTAAAATTAATGTGTGTCTGGATACGCAATGCTCTGTTTGACATCTTCGAGGACAGCCACAGTCCCACAGTGAGATGAGATTAGAAGACGCATGAATAGTTGTGCAACATCTTTTCATGTTCTTTGCAGTGAAACACGAACTAGTTGATGGTTATTAGTCCAGGACTTGCATTCATGGCCAATTTGTTCTTGTAGGCTGATTGAATCGCATGAGAGGAACAGATGTGCTGCAGGTCACTACAATGGTAAAAAGTATTGAAATAATGTAAAAGCGCATGTATGCACCATACCGTACCATATTGTACCGTACCATACATACCATACCATACCATACATACCATACCATACCATACAAACCATACCATACCATACCATATCATACAAACCATACCATACCGTACCATACATACCATACCATACCATACCATACCATACCATACCATACCATACCATACCATACCATACATACTATACCATTTTGCTGGTTTAATTTATCTAACTACATTTGTAAACGACGGGAGGCAGTTTAAAGAAGAGCTTGCATTTGTGGACATATCGCTGAACCATATTGCATAATCTTTCAGATTTATTGTCACTTGTATGAAACTCTTAAGCTATTAAATAGTTGTTTTGCACTCAGACTTCCCAAGTAAACGTGTAAAGCATGCTTGTACTGTTTAGCTGTGGTATAACCATGTCAAAAATCTCAGCTAATAGGACAAGATATGACCACGGCTACTTGTGGGCGTGCTCACAGAGCTCACCTCTGATGATAGCTAACTAATACTGGTGTTAGTCTGTGCTTAGTTTAGCTGCGTGCCTCCTGATAATGGGTATGTAGTTTTGGGAGTCATGCAGATTTTAGCATGATGTGTAACCAAACACATCAAACTAGTTCTTATCAAATGTGAATTCAGTGTCGCAGATGTACTGTAAGTGCAAGAAGGTATTGAGATTTTTGGTCACAAACAAGCAGAAGCAGAAAATGTCAAAGTTCGTTTGTTGTGAAAGATTACTGAGAACGTTTGAGCAAAATGTTTCAAACAGGAGCACGGAACATTTTTTCATGCAAAATTAAATCTGAGAGTAGAGGTGTTGGTTTGATGGAAGCAGAGCAGATTTGCAAGCAAGCATGAATTTCTTCCTAGTGTGACAGAGTTTTGAAAGAGAACAGCACGATGTCTGCTTGGTATAACTGTAAATCCTGCTCTTAAATCAAAAATGTACTCTTAAATAATGGCAGTAATTGTTTTCCATAGGTCTTGGGTGTCTTGTGATAGAAGCCTAATCCTGTTTGTGCATCTTAACCTTGTGGATCATGCTATCTGTTAGTCTTAGATGCTATGTGAGCATCATGTGACATCTTAGTGTTTTGACCTTGAGGTTTTAGGAAAGTTTAAAATAGTAAGAAGCGCAAGTCTTAACAGGTATTCAGTGTTTAGATCTGCTTTTTATTTGTAGGCAATAAATGCAGAAGATGGACAAGAAAGAGTAGCCAGTAATCATTCTAGCTTGTCGTTTATTTCAGCACATTGGGACTACATAAATGTTTGTTTGAGATCTACAAATTGTCGATTTTGTACCACCGCTAGTAAAATGAAAGATTCTCAACATTGTTTAAGCATAAGAGGCCCGTTTTTCCCTGTGTGGAGCAGCGGGCCAAGAGGCCCCACATTCCCTTCAGAACACAGTATTACTGAGTGTTGACATGAGGGCTCTGTGATATCAATTTACACAGCTCCCACATAATCATTTGTTGGACGCAGCATCACACATATAAAAACACTGCTTTTTGTAAAACGTCTACATCTGTAGAATTTTATATCTATTCTTGTTTTGTTCTATTTTCATGCTCATTAAGCCTTTCTTTGTATCTTCTTTGTATCTGTGTTTCTTTTTGTCATGCAGCAAGCCTATGTGTCCTCCGGCCACCAGATGGCGCCCCCAAGTCCCAACACTAATGGTAGCAGCAACAGCAGTGGTGGAGGAGGGGAACAGCTGAGTAAAACAAATCTGTACATCCGCGGTCTCCATCCGGGAACCACGGATCAAGACCTGGTGAAGCTCTGCCAGCCGTGAGTCATTCTAGATCGTCTGTCAAGAAATCAGATATCTTTAAAAAACATCTTTTTAGAGAGTGCATTTCCAGCATAGACCACATTTATGAACACAATTATGAACTCTTCTGATCAAAACTGGTTAGAAGTGGCTGTGGTTAGAAGATAGATGGTTCAGTGTCCGGATCCTCATGGTTTAGGTAATGTGTTGTTGGTTGGTTGGTTGTTGGTTGTTGATTAAACTCCACATTTTCCTCCGATGCTCATTGTTGCATAGTTATCAACAAGAAAAGACAAAATAGAAAGCTCTATAGAAGTGTTTGAGAAGTCTATGATAATTTAACCCCAGCGGGCTGCCGTCTTCAGCCCTTCAGAAAAAGATCTCCAAAATGACGTAATCACCGATGTGCCGATTGTACCGAAGTATAAACCAAGTTTTACCCCTGCTTCTTGTGTGATCACATCAGAGGATGTTTCCACAAAAAACAATGTTGCTCTCAAATAGAACGTGTTTTCTCGTTTTAATTCAGTTTCAGTTCAGTTTATTTATTTAGCCAATTCACAACAAATTTTGCCTCAGGGCTCTGTCCAAAAAAAAAAAAAAAAAACAATAAGTCTAATGAAACTGGCAGATTGCATTGAATCTTCACTTCATCACAGTCTCACATCCTGAGCAAGCCCATTGGTGACAGTGGAGAGGAAAAACTCCCTTTTAAACAGGAAGAAACCTCCAGTAGAACCAGGACAAGTGGCCGTTTGCCTCGACTGCTTGGGTTTGGTGGGACAGGAAGTTAATTTGACGTATTTTGATGCAATATGTTTGGTATAACCATTAAAGTTCTTGGACAAGGATAAAGTTAATATTTCAAACATTTTTGGTACACAACAGCAAATATAACTTCATGTTTTCCAATATAGCACATTTGGTTTCCTTGCCCATGACAAAAAGCATCAAATGTCAATGCTTGTTGCAGGCTAGCTAACGAATTACTTCACACAATGAGACTCTGGAGTAAACACATCTATTTATTTAAAAGAAATCCGTTTTAATAGATTGTGTATCATTTTCTTGAAAGGGTGTCCCGTTTCATAGGGTAAGATTTTAACCACTACTTCTTGTGACTTTAAATTAAGAGCTGAGTGGACTTTTGAATTCTCAGCACAGGGTTAAAGCTAGAATGCTGTGCTCAGTTGTGCTCTCAGGTTAGGTCTACTGATAAACTTTCCTTAAAGTTGAGAGTTGTAGGGTGACAAGAAAACCAGTTTGGTGGTATGCTGAATCTCATCCTGAAGCTTACTCCACTTTACTGTCTCAAAACAAAATAAGGTTGTAATGAGGAACTTTATATTAATATTCATGTTAACTGAAAGATAAGATCATTTTACAACATTTTTACACAACTTGACTTATTTTTCCAGACAAGTCACCCTCTTGTGTCTTTCAGAAATAACGCAGGCACTCAGCTTCACTTTTCACACTGGGATGCTACGTTCATCTCTTAAGCTCAGTTATGTACATTTGCTTTTAAAAAGGCAAGTTTCACACTTTAGTTATYTTGTGTTTGGTGTTTTCAGATGAATGTTGCCTGACTTACTCTTGTTTTTCTCCTGCTGATGAAAGCGATTTCAGCCTGACTTGTGCTGAGTGTTTATTCCGGTCCACATTAGCTGGAACAAGTTTTAACTTTGATACTAAATGAGATTTGAGGGRAAAAAAAGAAAGAAAGGGAAAAAAAGAATACCGCAGAAACCTATTGTGAGCAAAAACATCTGTGCTGTCCAGAGATATGCTCTTCATCTTTTTTGGACACACGCGATTAAATAGTCTGAGATCATTCCCAGTCACTTTCAAGTTCATTTCAAGAGCTGTTTAGACAGGAAAGGGATGAAAGGACTCGGTCAGTTTGATTGATTCCTCCCAATCAAACAAAAACACCAAATTGTCTGCAATGGTGTGGACACTCAGAGGGAGGTAGGTGAAATCAGATCACACAATTCATGAAGAACTGGGTTTTAAGAACCTTACTTAAAAATAAGGAAGGTTTTTGCTGTGATCAAAACTTCCAGGCCTGTTGTAGCTGAAGTGACTCAAACAGTCAGAATCGCACACCTGTAGACGCGCTTATTGCTGGGCGGTATGAACAAAATTTTATATCACGATATTTTTAACAATTATCTGTATCACGGTATTATGTTACAATTTTTTTTCATCACAGCTCAGGCTGATGTTAAAATGTWCAAATTCTGCTTACTGATCAGCAAACAGCAGTCAGCTGCTCTCTTTCTGCAACACAGAAACTGTTTTTTGACTTTTTACTTTTGCTGTACCTCTGCCTGTGTTGTGTTTTCCCTCCTCTGGTTTTTCTTCCTGCCCTGGTTGTAGACATTAGTCGCGCATTCTGGGCTTACGTCACGTTAGCAGCAAGGGGAGGCAGGTACAGTTGTGAAGGAAGAGGGTTAAGCAAGGATCCTTACCAGGCAAATTTACTTCATGGATGAAGTCTATCTTTGCACGTCACTAAAGAGGCGTATTCTACATTCAGYGATGGTGAAATTGGGAGTTATTTAGTTTTTTGTTGACCAATGTAAGCGACAAAATTGCCACACATTTAGTGAAAAGGCTGCTCCCACAGTGACTCTAATTTGCCCTTTTTGCTGCCAGTTCTTGCWTCTGCAATCAGCTGTTCAGAAAAGTGTCCCGCATGAAACACTTCACTGGCAGGTGTGACGTATTGTTCCGAACGTATGCCGGTATTTGGAAAATTTACATCATAACAAAAATAAAAAACGGTTTTCGTTACAAACCTGTATAGATTAGAGAGACCTTTATTGTCATTGAATTTAGCTCACCTTTTGAGTGTTACAAATGTTCCACTACCATTTTATTGTTATTTAGCTCCCTGTTCTTCCATTTAGCCAATTTTTACTAAATAAATTTAAATGTTTAAAATATATTTAAATATTAACTCCTAAATGTAAACGTTAAACCTTAAATGCTGAAGTTCACATTTAGGTATTTTGGAACGGAACGCGGGCTTTGCTGTTGATGTTCATCTCATGCTATGATGTCATCATCCTGCAACAATAGCAATCGCTAGCGGTTCAACACAGCTAAAGCTTCCCTACGTAAAGACTAACGTTAAACAGGCAAGAGTGCATTTCCCATTGCTGTACATGTTGACAACAGAGCAGACAAAAAAGGACTGACAATGTAGAAATCATTAAAATTATTAATAATAATATTAATCCAATTATTATTAATATTTTACAGTTTATATAATCTAATGTTTTAAAT